CAGCAGGACTCCACTGTTCAACCTCTGGAAGGGTATCACCTCTCATTGGACTAATTATTAGGCAGTTAGGAAGGAATTCCTGGCTGGGAGGCACTGGCACAGGTTGCCCAGAGAAGCTGTGGCTGCTCCATCCCTGGGAGTGTTCCAGGCCAGGTTGGATGGGGCTTGGAGCAGCCTGGGCTGGTGGGAGGTGTCCCTACCCAGGGCAGGGGGTGGAACAAGATGATTTCTAACGTTCCTTCCAACACAAACCATTCCATGATTCTATGATTGGCTGTTCCTAAACCCAGCTGACATCCTAGGTGAGATCAGGGACATCAGAGCCTCCAAGAGGCCCAAGATAAGGGTTGAAATCCATGCTCTCTTTGCAGAGATGTGTCATGTTCATCTCCCTCTAAATCCTCAAGAAAATGACTCCAAGCTGCCCATTTCCTTGCCAGCTGCCCAAAACAGATAGGGAAGAAGAGCTCCTAGAGTTGAGTCAGTCTCTATCAAGCAATGAATGTAATCCTAGTTGGCAGCAAAGGCAACTTTTGTTCTCCTTGATTGTTCTTTCCTGCCCCTAAAATACCCCTCATTACCCTCAGCAGTATCAGAGGCTGAACTCTGCTCTCCCTTGCATTTGCTTTCACCTAATTAAGGGCCTGTTAAATAAGGTCAGATGCCCTCTGAGAAATGACTGCAGAGAGGGAAAATCCCGCATGGATGCTCAGCTAAGGATGGGAAAGGCACTGTGTGAGTGCCTCTGTTTCTCAGCCAAGAATGATAAAAGTCATTTGGCCCAGTGGCAAAACTGCAGCTCAGTGTGCTGCTGACTCCTCTGAAATAATTCTTTATCAGCAAAAGGCTTATTATTGCAAAAAAAGAAGTCATAATTTAGCTTGATTTTAACTCATTTGCTGCTAGCACTTGGGTATTTAGGAGTAAGCAGCTGTGGGATGATGAAGGGAGTAGGAAGTCCCTTAACCTCCTGCTGGGTTGGCTGTGTGTTCCAGCAGGGATGCAAATAACTCCAAAAGCTGAGGTGAGCAGGTGAGGAATTGATTCAAGGTCTTGGAGGTGTCCCAAATGAGCCATTCATGGCAAGGGAAGATACTCCACCAGGAGCTGTTGCTATCCCATGAGATGCATGGGCATCTGGAATTTCGTCTCCCACTGATCCTCAGCCTTGGGCTTTTCACACTTGAATGAAGCTCTTTTTATGCTTTGGAGATGCTTTCATGAGCCAGTTGATGCTGTATTCCAGTGCCCACTTTGCCCTTTAACCAGTACTGAGCTAAGTGCACTGGAAAGGGGAAAAGAGTTGCAGCTGAGAGAGAGTCCAGGATGTGGGAGACATAGACTCATTCCTTGCCTTGCTCAGAGGGTCCCTGCACTCTCAGGCACATGGTGTGAGGCTTGGGGTTGTCCTGTGCAGGGCCAGGAGTTGGACTGGGTGATCCTTGTGGATCCCTTCCAATTCAGGGTATTCTATGGCATGAACTGTGACCAAACCACTGTAGCTCCATGTGTTCTGAAGGTACAGGAGATATTTCCAAGATCAGGATGTCTTTTGGAGCTGATGAGAGCTGGAAAGCTTTGCTGGATCCTACAGTTCAGAGGGATTTCTGCTATGTTGCCATGAGCTCTCCAGTCTGAGCTTTGCTGCATGTATGGGAGAAGGAAATACTTCCTGAGAGAGTGATTGTCCTTTTTGTAGCCACCCTGGAGATGACATGAGTTACAGTTTCGTTGATCCCATCTAGAGGAACATTGACAAGCCCAAGCTGTGTGGAGAGGACTAGCTGGGAGCAGTTTGACAGTTGTTCACTGCAGGGAAGGATTTAATA